TACTCTAGAATCTTGAGTTTGGGGACTACATCTATTAGTAATGACATGGTCAAAGTAATGTACATTTTCTTTTCGGGTCTTTTAGTGTGTAGAAAATGTCATGTCCGCCATTCCATATGATATATGTGGCAATCTATTTCCAATTCACCCAATGCATGTCGTGCACATATCAAACAAACTCCTTCTCACATTCCCTACATGGACGCCACCTCCACCCTCATGATGACACCTTGCATCCCCTTGTTGATTCTCGGCCTGCACCTTGACAACACTTGCCCATTTTCAAACATAATACTCATATCTCATTCCCCAACATGCTCTTAACAAAAGCTCACTCTCCTATTTTCACATTATGCATTTTTCTTTCTCATTAGCCAAGGCATATACACTATCACCATCTCCATCAATTCTCTATTTTTTTGTACACATAAGACTTCCCAACAATCTAATCCTTCAATGCTCTAGGATAGTCTCCCATCCTCATGTCCGAAGCAAGCTAACTTCTTAGGCTATTTACAACCACCACCTAACAACCTCACATGCAAGGTTGTCCCTCTTCTCTCCTCCTAGCCGTGGGTCTTCACAAGAAAGGAGGAGATCCTTAACTCTTATTATAAGTGTCTAGAAGGAGAAGCAAATATCATTACCGGGAAGCCATTTGGTTAACCATAAATTGAAAGGTAAGCTACATTTTATGAATATCCTTTCCATCTTCGAGTATAGTTGTTAGGGAGGAGAGATTGTTATGAAAAACCAAATTAATTCACATGACCTGTTGATATAAAAGAAACTTAGGAAGTAAACTTGGTGACTTTGAGTATCCTCTGTAAGTTTATCCCTTTCTGTTTCATTGAAACATGATTTGGTTAGATGCCAACATGCAGTTCTCAGCTAAATATAGTTTTTAAACTGGTGGTTTAGGAATCAAGTTCCCGGTTAGCAATGGGAGCTGCATTTGGACTTTTACCTCCAAAAGAGCAGGTGATGAATGTCTATGCTTTTCAGTTTCAGTTGTAAAACATTAACTTTTCATTCTTTCTGGTAACATGCAGACAAGTTTTGTGAAATATATATATGTGAATGTGATGCAAACCCAAGATGTTAGATGCCTACTTTGTGATTTGTGTTGCTTAACATGCACTGACTTAAGCATGGTTGGTTTCTCCTTTGTGACTCTTTTCTTTGAGTACTAATTGGTATCAGGGAACAGTGACTCTTTTCTCCTATTAAGCCACACTCGAGGCAGAGGAGTAGAGAATGTATTGAGGAAGCTTTGATGTTAGCACACAACCTTATTTATATTTTGTAATATCTTTCAGGTTGATGTTGACATAGCAACCCAGATAAACATTACTGATGATGGCCGAGATCGAAGGTGATGCATTCATTTGGTTCTTCCTTAACAAAATAGATAATCTGATTGAAACAGAAAATTGTTTAGTTTAAACTCACATAATATTTGAGGTCTTAGAAGCATGCTGAGTGCTAGGTTTGAATTAGTATAGTACTTCTGGGCAATACATGTATGTTTTTTGTGGTATGTTTGAATTACTATATTTGGTCCATCATGAACCGGTGATTTATAATTAATTCATTCAATCTTTAAAGTGCACATTATTTCTTATTATTATTCTATGTATTTTATAATTTCATCTTTAAACAGGTCCTAATTTTAAACATAATCCCCACCACCCTCATCCACCTACAGGTGAGCTTTTATTTTATCTTTTTTATATTTATAGTTAAATTCCATGATTTTCATATATTTAGACATAACTTTCTTTATTAGTATTTATACATTCTAAACATATTTCAAATCCCATAATTGTTTTAATATATCATAGTCTTTCACTCAAATTGCCTTTATTTATTATTAAGTATTTATGTATATTATATCTAAAGGCACTTTTTGAACATTATTCTTTTTCCTCTATTTATTTTTTTTTGTTATATTTTTTTTAAACAAAACAATTGTAACATATGATCTAGAAATAATTGAATAAGGTAATAGAAGAGTGGTGTAATTTGGGTGTTCCTTTTGCAGAATCCCAGAATATGCATAGCAAGGATGACTATAATGACCAAGGGTTTAACCTCAAGCATGGTCATCCACGCCATCCTCCCCATGTGAAGAGTGAAGACCGTGTCTTAGATACATTGAGTTCAATCTCATATTATCATTGTATTTATAGGCGAAACTGTGAGCAATGGTTGATGATGACATTGAATAATCATTAGCGCAATAAATGTCATATATATGTTTAGGGAAAAGTTTCAATGGCAAAAATATCTTATCTTATTTCATCTTCCTATACTCTTCCTATTTCATCTTTCAATGATTTAGTAAATGTTTAAAATATAAGCCTATTTAAAAATTAGGTTATAATTTTATTTTTCAAAAGCTTGACCTATAAATTCACGGCCATTTAAAACTGATGCTGTAAATATTATAAATTTATTAAATGTTTGAATAACTACAATATAAATTAACAGTAGCAACTATGGCGATTGTACAGATACAACGTCAATTGTGTTTCAACGTCGGTTTCACAAAACCGACTCTGACGCCAACTCCAATGTCGGTTTTCAAAGAGCCATAGAAATTTTTGGAGTCGGTGTAAACCGACTTCAAAACTAAAATAAACCGCATTTAAGTTCCGTTTTTGTTGCAGTGAGTTAAAGAAAAATAAAAAAGAAAAGAGATTACAAGCATGTCTTTTTATGTCTCTGTAACATGAAATAAATATCTCTACGAGAAAACAATTTTCCTATATTAATATATAAATTCTATTTAACAGATTCAATTAGTGACTCACTAAATATTAAACAAGTGACCCATTAATCCAATCACCGGTTGGGGTTTAACTATATTGCTCTCACTTGTTTCTCTCTCATTTTTCTAGTCTGATCAAAATGCTAGAAGCTTGAAGGAAGAGCTAGCTAAAATTCGCCCACAGCTGGAGTAAATGCAAAAAAAGATTTTATACTGTCAATAATAACTTTAGATATTTTTAAATAGAGTTGATCGCTGGTTTGAAAATATTTTTCTCAATGATATAGCAAATGAACTCATTTGATTAATTAGTATTAATACATAGGTTTTCGTTTTATCCTTTAACATAACACAACAAAATTTTCTACACTCACAACATTTTGTGGGGCCCACACTTTTTAAAACAAAAAAATAAAAAAAAATTAAGGCACGCAAAACGAATCTCTATAACATTACACAATCACTTTTCCTACAACATAACTCTTATAAAACCCTAATACATATCACCACGTGCCAGATCTATTAAAAATAGGTTGTCTATTTTGGAAAATAAGCATTTTCATTCATGAAAAAGTATATAGCTTAAATAAAAACTGTTCAAGAAAACACCATAGGCGGAGGTTATTAACTCACTATTTCCCCATTATTTACACTTATTTTATAAATGTTTTTCTTCATTTAAAGTATATATAATTTGTAAATCAAAATTCTTTCTTTGACAAAGATTCACTTTTTTTAAAAAAGAAAACACTGAATTATATTAAATAGAAAGCTGTGATTTAAGAATAATTTTCACTTTTTTATTAACGATCTCTAAACTAATTTTCATTTTTAATGCATGCAGCACGAAAGTATAAACAATTTCTTTTAAAACTATATAAATTTCCTATCACGTACTAAGCCATTTACCTTTACACTTTATTAAAAAAATTTATGTATATGTTTGTTTCAATTTATTTATAAGAAAATAAGTATTTGTTTTTCAAAATGTCAATAAAAAACTTGTAAAGGAAAAAGAAAAGAAAAGAAAGCAATTCACTAAATCTTCCACTACTACCTTCTTGTAATTTAGACTTTCATCAACTACGTACAAGAACCCCACACACACACACAAAAAAGAATCCTTAATTAAGAGTAGGACATAATGTTACAGGAATAACGTTAAAAGAAATTGAAACAGATAATAACTAAAGAAAATTTAATGTAATACTTTTACATCTAAATAAATAATTTTTTTGTACAAAATATTATTTGTATATTTTACAAAGGAAAACAAGAGCTTCCTTTTTTGATGAATACAAACTTATATCCTTTTAGCAGTTTTTAATTATACATTTTGAAGAATGCATAATTATAATATTAAACTTATATTTTTTCACTTTTCACGTCAGTAGATAACTTCTGAAGAGAAAAAAAATAAAACTTTAATATTATAATTATGTATTTCTAAAAATACATTCCCAAAAAATACAATCTGATTTTCTTTTCTCGGTACATCACACGAATAATAAATTAATTTATATCCTTTAAAATAACATTCACTCAATCTTTTTACAAAAGCCGACAAAAGGAAACTCCAGCACGCTTCCTTGAGTAACCGCTACTTTCCAAACTCTTTAACCTTTTTACCCATAAAACCAAGACACGTTTGGAGTTTTGGTTATCTGTCTGGGCTTGTTGTCTCTTTGTGAATAAAAAAATGGGGGATCTCTCTATTATTTAATTAGCAATTATCCAACATGAGATCAAATCACCTTCACGTCAAACACTTCCAATCTTTTATATATTGACATATTGGAGAAACTTGAACCCAACTTTGCCGACAAAATCTCCAAGTAATCGAACACGTCTATATATAACGCTCATGTTATAGCCTTCATTAACAAAATATTTTTAGATTTGAACTTATAATAGCCTCTTAATTTAATGTGTATATATATTCTCCACCAAATTAATGTCTCTCACAATTCAGCCACCAACTACTACATAACTGAAGTCAATAAAGTACAGCACTAATAATAACCTTAATAAATTCAACAAGTGATACATTTTGGCCATCTATAAATGTGGCACATGCATACATAAATATATATATATATATATAGCATCATATAGCAATAATACAAGAGTCCTTAATTTTTATTACAAAACCTTTCTTACAAGTGCACCATACCTACCATAGTGGAGGTACACACCTCAAACTGCACTCTAGCTACTAGCTCACCTAATTAAAATAAAGTACACTCTTATATATCTCCTTGAATAGGAAAATTAGAACACTTTCTTATCCGTTAATTAGGCTCCTAATGATAGCAGCCTCTGGACTATCAGCTTCAATTGTGGCCAACAATTGAGATAGCCGTTCGCTTAAGTCATCAACCTCTCTGTGTAAGCTTCTAATGTAGTTACAGGTCTCCTGTAGGACCTTAGATGCTGAAACCTGCACAACAAAAGTTGAGTGAGAAGGAAGAATTACCATATCAAGAGTCCAATCAACACATGGTCACTGAGGCAAATGTTGTTTATGACTAACTAGTACATTATTATACTTCACCAATATTTTTATGTACTAATTAATATCAATTATGTAAAGGGCAAAAAATTGTAAATATAATATTCTTTATAACAAAAAGAATAGAGATTAATTTACAAAAAAAAAAAAAGAATAGAGATTATATTTATAATTAAAGATTTATATAAATTTAAAGGGGACGACCACTCATCCTAGCGCTTGTTTGCTCCACCATTGTGTGCTATGAAATCATATTTAGAGACCATATAGGATTTTTCGTTTCACGAATTGGTCCAAATTAACCACTTGATGGTTACCGTGCAGAGAGACTTTTTTTCTTTTTAAGTCTTATTTTTTTCTTTGTGGGGGCATGTGTTACTTTTATTATTGTGTAATGTTATTTATACACCAAAAAACAAATATTACACTATATTAAAAAAAAAAAAAAGTGTACATTCAGGACTCTAACGCTGTAACGTTCAAATTAACAAGAATGAAGAGTGATGTACATTAAGACACGAGCCATATAGACTCTGAGCCGGGTTATGCATATGTATGTTTTCATTTTGTGATATTTTAAAATAATCAATGCAATAAAATGACGTAGAAATCACATTTCTCTTTATTATCTAATATTTATCTTTAGAAAAGTATATACATACGACTCAATGTGAATCCTTTGAACGTCTATATAGATCTGCATAGCATATTTAAAATTTTGGGAACTATGCCCTTAATATATGGGTCAATTTTGGACTATATAATCCCTTGACTATTTACATATTATAACATGACTCACATGTGCTACAACCATGACATTATGTTATATAGTTAGCTTCACTATCCCTTTCAGAACATAGCAACAACAAAAACAAAAACAATATATATAACATTTCAGTGTCTTTCTATTTTTCTCTTTATGAAACAAAAAAAAAGAAAAAAAAAGAAAAAGGGTTTTGAAATACCTTGTCAGAACGCCTATCACGAATCTCAGGAACAAGTTGACGCAACTTTGAAACAAGTTCGATGATTTGGTCATCGGAGATCCTTGTAGATGCAGATTGTTGCCTGGACCTTCGGCTAGACATATCCCTAGATATGTTGGTGTTATAATTTTCAATAGTTTTTTTCAGTTTAATATATAACTACAACAAGCAGAGAGAACAAAGAAGATGGATGATAATATAAATAATAATGATGATGGGTTTGGTTGGAAAATTAACAAACAAAAGACAAGTTATATAGTGAAAGGAAAGGAGAAGTAGGAGTAGTAGTAAGAGTAAGAGTAGTAGTAGGAGTAGGAGAAAGAGAAGGGCTATATAGTAGTGTTTGGATACAAGCTAGGTATGCAAAAATGGAGAAAGTGATAAGAGAAATATAAAGAGAGGGAAAAGGACCACAAAACAAGGGTGTGTGTGAGAGAGAGAGAGAGCAAGAGAAAGAGTACAATAACATAGACAGTGATGTTGGATGTGAAGAAAACAATTGCATTGGGAAAGCAGTGGCCTAGGCTTTGTGTTTAATTAAAATTGGAGAGTGAAAAGGGGGAGAGAGAGAGAGAACGTAGGTTTCTTCTTCTATGAGTGTTCCCAAATTGGGGTTTGATCTCAAGTGGACTAATAGGAGGGTGTTTGTTTTTAAGCTAACAAAGTGGGCCTTCATGTACATGTCTACATAAACAGGACCATGTGATCATAGGAAACTGATCCTCTTCAATTAACTTATTCACAGTGATTCATCTAAATATCCTTATGCTAATCACATAATTCCACGTTATTGTACCCTAAAATACTACCACCTTCAAGAACCATTGGTTTAATGTTTTAGGATTTTTTTTTTTGTTTTTTTGAGATATTCCAATCACTAATCTAATTCGGAGCGAATCCCAAAATTACGGCTTTAAATTCCTCCCAAATATAATACTAGGGAGAGGATCAAACACATGCTCTCACCCTTACCTACTCAATTCTCTAACGCGCAGTGAGCTATCATCATTTGATTGATTCAGGATATTGAGTCAAAACTACATTGATCCGGAGAGTGCTGACATGGCATGCAACCATTGGTTAATACTTAACACCCTAGAGTTAATTAATTAAAACAAAATGAAGTCAGTGACTTAGATCTGAATGAAACTTATGCTTCATTATGACCTTTAATGTCCTTAATTAGCATAATCACTTTATTAAATCACCGTCTTAATTTTTGCTAAGATAAGTAAAATCAAGAAAGCAACAAGTGCTTATATTATATAGAATGCAACTGGCTAGCTGTATTAGTGTTTGATTTAAGGGATTAGCAAGCTAGTGAAATCTGGTGGGAACACTCATGGCAATTTCTGTGATACATATATATTTAATTGTTGCTCTTCATCCTTGTTAGGGACATAACTACGTGATACATATATAGTTCAGTTTGTGAGGCATATATGAGATTATCAACTTATTATTGTGGTTTGAAATGTTAACAAATCATAGTTCATCAACGCAAAGATATATACCTCTTGTATTGTAAGCGTGCAGTATACAAGATGTTGAATTTCCTCTATATGAAAAACTACAGATGAATTTTCTCATAGACAACAATCACGGGATAGTCTTCTAATTTTGGACACAAAAGAAGAGAAAGAGGTGTGTGCACAATATATCTTATTTCAGAAAGTATGAGGACTTTAAGTGATTAAAGTAAATATATATAGGTTCAAACATAACCCTGGATTTTCTTGGACCCTTATTATATATATTAAACCCCAAAAGACTTTTAAATAATAAGAGCATAACCCAACATATATGAGTTCATCATATGCCATTTCCATGGTTCACAAGACATGCCAAGTGGCATGTCTTGAGCCCCAGTACTTGTCTAGTGAAGAAAAAGGTTTCCCAAATCAGGCAAAGATTGGGAGTTCCATGCCTTTATCAAGCACCATCACGTGCAGCTAAAAAACTTGGATGAACTCTAATGGAGCTTGCGGGGACCTCTTCCCCACTACCCTCTCTCTACTCCTGTCTCTGCTGTTGCATGTATTATACACAAAACATTTTTGCTACCAACCAGCAATTGGGATTTAGTATTATATTTTGCTCACTAAGTAAACTCTTGGTCACCGGTGTAAATAAACTGGGTTGGGTTAGACTTTGCCTTAAAGAGGTCAGGCCTGTTAAAATATTTTAAGTCTGAATTGATCTATTAGCTTTGTATAGGCAAAAATTATAAGTCTGGTCTAACCTATATTTAAAAAGTAAAAGCTTTAGACTAGGTCTATTAGTCTCCTTTTAAGCCTATTAAACATTTAATAATTAATAATATTAATTTATTATTCAAATCATTAAAATAATAATTTGTTTATTTTATTTGAAATAAATAATATGATATAGGCCGGTCTATAAGCTTATAAATCCAACATGTAAAAAAAAATATATGACCTATTTTCTAAATAGGCATTTTTTGAGGTCGGACTATATTCTATTTAACTATATATAATAAACTGAGTCTAACCTGATTTATGTTGAAGCGTAGGCCCCTGTTAGGCCGGCTAACCCATTTACACCCATACTCTTCATCTTGCCCACTTAACCAAACTCAGTTAACCTCCATTCCCCACCCTCAACTCCCAAATCCAAACAAAGGGCCATAGAATAAAACTGCCATCAACTAATGTTTCCTACCTACTATATTAACCAACCCACCAGGTTCAAAATTGAGTTGTAGAACCGTGTATCTATTCGATGATTAGCAACCTCTCGGTTGAGAGAAGCTTAAAATTTGTTGGAAAAAAACTAGATATAATTTTTATTTCTATTTTTGAGATTATGTGGTACTTGAATACGTTGTTGTTCATTGTGAAAATTATTTTCCAAACAAGTGATATTTGAACCATACTGGTTAAGTTGGCGCATGGGGGCATGTTAGACATGAAATATTTCATTCTGATTAATAAAAATAATTTACATTTGGCGCATGGGTGTCCAGACTTGTCACTATGTACTCCGGAGAGTACATAACTATAATATTAAAGTTATTTTTTCTCTCTTTCTTCATAAATTTTTCATAAACTTATCCGCTGACGTGGAGAGAGAAAAAAAAGAAACTTTAATATTATAACTATGTACTCCCCGAAGTACATAGTACATAGTTATAAACTGGTGATTGGACAAAATTTTATATCCAATGACTGAACACCAAATGCACCATATATAAATTTTATAACTATTACTCATCAATTAATTATTAATTCATAATAAATTGTAACTGTTAGATGCACGGAAATCAACGGTTAAGATCTGGTGTAAGACTTATTATTCTTACACCGATGTAATTTGATCCTATCCCTAATAAAAATATTCAAGAAATTAACTCACCTTAAAAAATTAATTAAGACATGTATACAAAAGAAGCAAAAAAATTGTCTTCATTAAAAAGAAAACTTGGCAAAAAAATTAATATATTGCATTTTAAATAAAAAATTACAAATTTATGGTTGTTTTAAAAAAAATTACGCATTTATTGCATAATGTCACGCCCCATTTAGGCGTGACACCCACGTGGGTCACGCCTAAATAGGGAGTGACACGTACTGCCCAATTTGGGCATGACACATGCAGCCATCCTGCCTCCCCAAGGCTTAAATTTAGTCTTTTATTTTATTTTGTTATTCTAATTTAAAATGGGTTCACATTCTGATTCTGTTCATGTTGTGTTATATTACAATGATAGGAAGGTGGAAGACCGACGAGGTGTCATGTTTGAAGGTGAAAAAAGGCCGACACGTATCCAACGCAACCATTGACGAACTGCATTAGAAAATTCGTCAGAAGTTAACTCTTCAAGGTAACCAATGTATCACTCAGATCACCACAAGGTTATGGCAATCTGATCAATACATTAGTTTGCAAGTGGTTGATGATGAAGACGTCGAGATGATAATGGAAGAATTTTTCAACCAGTCAAGGAAAGATTTTTTGAAGTTGTATATGGACATTGCCGGAGCAGAGGATGTAGCCTTACCGGTGAGGGCAGTTGCTTTAAATTCTCCTCGTCTTGCATCAACGTCTGCTGCTCATGCTTCTCCAGTTGCTAACATTTCTGAGGGAGATGAAAATGATCCTACTTGGGTTATGCATGACGACGACGACGATGATGAAAATATCGTAATGGAAGAACGTCTTCTGACCTAGGATGCTAGTGCTTCTGAAGGAGATAAAAGTGATGATAGGGGCGCGTCTCAAATCCCAGTATACCATGAACTAGTGGAGTCTCAAATCCCCCGACTTAATGACATGGGCTCGCACAATTAGCAGATCATCATCAAGGTATTTTACAGAATAACTCGTATGTGATTTAGGGTGTTTGAATAATGTATTAACAAGTTTTAATTCCTATATGCAGGTGATGATGTCGTTATTCCTTTTTGGAAAGGAATTTCACATTACACACCAATTGATTGGAGTTATCGGAGCGAACAAGAAACATGCACTGATGGTCCAGTTTCGGGATCGGGATCAATACAAGGTCCGTGGCAACTGGGTGACAAGTTATTTGTGAACCAGGAATTTGCAACGAAGAAGGAGGTTCAAATGGCACTGAAGCATAACCTCATGAGGGAGCATCAAGATGCAATTGTAATTGAGAGCACGCCTGCAAAGTTAAGCATGAAATGTTGCGCGTATGATAAGGGTTGCCCGTGGCGCGTTAGGGCGATAAAACCTGTGTTTGGTGAAAAATATAAGATTACCAGATGGGGTGGGGATCACAATTTTTTGAATGACCATATCTCTCAGGGTCATAGATAGCTCGATGTTGACGTCATTGTGGAGCTCATTCTAGATACGTATTCTGTCTTAATGTGTATGCAACTTTGAAAGAGGTGTTACTACTTATATACGTTATACTTAATGTGTATATAACATCTTCATTTCTAGGGATGATAATGGAAGAACTATCAGTCTCAATTTCACTGGTTCAGGAAAGGATTACCTCTAAATATGGATTCAAAGTTTCGTACAGAAAGACATGGTATGCGAAGCAAAAAGCAATTACAATAATGTACGGTGATTAGGAGGAATCGTATGCTTTTTTGTCCAGGTGGTGTGAATACATGCTTCGCTTTTCTCAGGTTCTTTTTATCATATTCAAACAAATGATTATTATGTGGAGCATGGAATAGTTCCTGGAAAAACAGTGTTTCATCGTATCTTATGGACGTTTAGACAGTGTTGTGAGGCATTCAAATTTGCCAAACCAGTTATATTGATTGATGGCACTCATTTATATGGAAAGTACAAAGGCAAGTTGTTGGTGGCCACTGCCCAAGATGGAAATGCAGAATGTTTACCCATCGCATTTGCCATCGTTGAAGGTGAAACCTTGGAAGCCTGGGACTATTTCTTGTTAATATTCGTGCTCATGTTACTCAAATGTCAAACATATGCCTCATATCTGATCGACATCGTAGCATAATATCTGTTGTGGAGAATAACTGTAATTGGCAGCCACCAAATGCATATCACGTGTTTTGTATTCATCATATTGCAAGCAACTTCAATTAGATGTTTCGAAATGAGAGATTGAAGCGGAAATTAAAGAATATAGGTATATTTTGGCTCTACTGTAATTATCCAGTTTTTGTGGCTTACATCTCGTGAAGCTGATAACATTAAGCTTTTGTGCAGGTTATACCATGTCAATGATTTTGAAAGAGGTTTTGCTCTATTCCGTGAAGCTAGTCCTTAGGTCGCTAAGTGGATTGATTCCATCCTTAAGGAAAAGTGGACGAGTGCATACAATGTTGAAGGACATAGGTACGGGCATATGACAACTAACTTGGAAAAATCTGTAAACAGGGTGTTAAAAGAGGCAAGAAATATGCCAATAACTGCTCTGGTTAAGCACACATACAGCAGATTGGTTCATTATTTTGTTACTAAGGGTAAAGCAGCTGCTTCGCAACTTCAATCTGCACATCGTCATTGTAAAATGTTATTGAAATGCTCAAGCACAAGGAACATCTAGCTACAGGCCACCATGTGCGTGCATATAACGTTGATCACACAGTCTTTGAGGTTGACGAGGGATGGGATCAGTTATATTCTGTCAATCTGTCAGAGAGGTTCTGTCAATGTGGAAAGTTTAAGGCTTTCAAATACCCGTGTAGTCACGTCGCTGCTGCTGCTTTAAGTGTTCCCCAGAATCCTTTCCAGTACGTGGATGGTGTATTCTTGATAACTAACTTGGTTGAGGCATACTCATACCCGTGGCAGCCAATTGGTAATAAGGAAGTTATTCCACCAAGTACAGGTCCAATGCTTATTCTTGACTCCTCTATGCTACATGCAAAAAGTCGTCCAAGGTCCACTCGAATCCGTAATGAGATGGATGAAGTTGAGACAAGTCAAAGCCGTATTAGGTGTGGTATTTGCAAGCAACGCGGCCATAATCGCAGAGCGTGTCCTAATTGCGAAGCAAACGATTGATTTATTATGCTTAAACCTACCTGAATTATTAACGTTGTATGATTAACGTTGTTTTTATTTTACTTGTTGTTATCTGCAGTCAGGTATTTTTGTGGCATTCTTTCTTGTCGTTATAAATCAGCATATTGTACACGTTCGCAACAATTTCACATTCTGTAATTTAACTGAAAGTCTATAAATAAATACAATCAAAATGCTAGTCCATAGTCCATAAAATATATACAGTCCAAATGATACTCCACTGTCCATAAAATATATACAGTCCATATAATAAGTAACTACATAACATAAAAAAATACGACAACCCATGATGCTACCTCCTGACCTGTCGCACAATAGCCAACACCCTAGCATGCGGGCAATATGCGCCCTCGTGAAAAAGATCTCTCGATCACGATCCCCCTGCTGCATCACTCCACCGGGCCCACAACCGATCAAAGAATGAGATGCGTAGGTCGCTTGAGCCATGAAACTCACTGGCCCGAGGCCTGGCACCAAAAATAGCCTCACAAACGGCAGGACAATCCTCAGATGTAGATCCGGTAACGACTTTCCCATCAGGAGGCAATCCCAGTGTACCGGCCACATCCTGCAAGGTGATACTCATCTCACCCTGTGTCATGTGAAAAGTATGTGTCTCTGGTCTCCACCTCTCGACCATAGCACTAATCAATGCGGCATCAATCTGAAATACATTATACAATTATCACATGGTATGTCATTGTATTGAATAACTATATAAATTGTTACATCATCAAGTGCATACCTGAATATGTCGCATGCGTGCAACATGTACAAATCCAGCCTGTGTGAGGTAATCGACGACCACATCTGGAATAACGCTGGTAGGTGGCCCCCCTGTACCTTACCACGCTGGGTCTTCAACTGACGAACATGTTCCGTATTTCACACCCGCTATGAAATATGGGTACTCTGCGTCCTTTTTCGAAGGACCTCCCACCTATACGGTCTAGGTATGATATACATACTAGGATTGGTAGGCTCTGGCTTATGATCGGATGCAGAATCCCCAGATGATGATGAATCAGCCATGATAAAAAACTATACAAAGTTGAAAATTTATTGTAACAGTTAATTTATAATAAAATTATGCATACAAGTGTAATACAACATTGAAACTAATTTACAAAACAACAACTTACAACATGTAACATCAAAATTTATTTAAAAATTAATTAAGCAAATTCCTAATTCACTATCAAAATTATTAAGCAAAAACCCTAGGTCATTAATACATTCGTAAGTAATTAATTCGTACTTATAATCACATCATGTTCCTAACAATTTTATAATGAAGTAGATTAATTCATTATTAATTAATAATAATACATGGGTCACTAATTAATTCATAATTAAATAATAATAATAATAATATCTGGGTCACTAATTAATTCGTAATTAAATAATAATAATCCCTTGGTCACTAATTAATTCGTAATTAAATAATAATAATACCTGGGTCACTAAATATTTCGTATTTAAATAATAATAATAATAATATCTAGGTCACTAATTAATTCGTAATTAAATAATAATAATACCTAGGTCAGTACAATATTCCTAAGTCACTACAGCATTCATAACTCACTACAAAATTCGTAATTAAATAATAATAATAATACTTAGGTTACTAATTAATATGTAATTAAATAATAATAATACCTAGGTCACTACAATATTCTTAAGTCACTACAACATTCATAACTCACTACAAAATTTCTAAGTCACTATAACTATTTTCTAAGTCACTAACATATGCTAAACCCTAATGTAGCAGTGTAATTTAAACTTAAAGACTTACTTTTGTTAGCAGAGCTTCGCTATGCAAATTTTCACGTAACGTAGAGAGCACAATCATCTTAGAGAGAGGTTAGAGTGAGAATGTGAAGTGATAAAAAAAAATGGGGTATTATATATCATTCATGGGTCATGTTCTTTTTGGGCGTCACATGTCACGCCTGGTTTGGACGTGATCTACTAGGCAGTGACACCCTCTTTTAGCTGTGACATATGACGCCAAAAAGTAACATGACATTGTGCAATAAATACGTAAATTTTTTAAAAATAACCATAAATTTATAACATTTTATTTAAAATTTAATATATTAATTTTTTTCCAAGAAAACTTACATTGAATGAAAAAAAAAACTCACTGCTATTATATTGATTTGACATTTGTTTAGTCTCGAACAGTCGTACTTCGATACTAGTCCCCCACATGGCAAAAGTAGTTAACTACCGAAAAAAAAAAAATGCATTATATAAGAAGAATCATATTCCCCCAATAGATCTCCAAAGTGAGGATATATGTTGCATCCGATACGTTAAAATTCAATAAGTAAATATCATTTTCGGTCCTCAGCAAATTTTATGATGCCTATTTTAGTCCTTAGTAAATAAAAAAGTTATTTGTGGTCCTTAAAAAAATTTAAGTGGATCCATTTTAGTCTTTTTGAGGAACTAATGTGGGTCTCTTTTGAATTTGTGAGAGATCATGATTTCAACTAAATAAATCCATTTTGAATTTCTTAGGGACCACGAATAGCATTTTTATTTGCTAGGGACTAAAGCAGATATCGTGAAATTTACTTAGAACCAAAAAGAATATTTACTCAAATTCAATCAATCACACTATATTTTATCGATAAGTCATAGTATAAAATATAAAAATTATTTTCATTTTTTTTCCAATACAATATGTATTGACGTAGCGTATTTCTATTGGTGTAATGTACTTACGTGACCAAACTCTTTTGGCACAGGTGGTAAGAAGTCTGAATTCTTTAACAAGAGGTCTCGAGTTCAAATCCCGAGAATGAAAAAAAAGAATTTGAGAAAGTCGATCCCTGAAAGGATCCGATAATACTTGATGGGAGATTAATCTTCAGCTATGATCGGAGAATCTCTTGAATTCACTCGAAAAAAAAATGTACCTACATTAATAGTACACTAGATTTTTCGCTGTACAAGAGTAAAATATTTCACATCATTTCTTTCATCTTTTGCGGTCAAAAAGGGATAACTACATGACATGACCCTATAGACTTATTTTTAAACCCGACAAGAAGTTAGAAGTTAGAATTCTGTTGGAATCCATGATGAAGAATCAAAGTCCAAAAAGCAAACAAGGAAAAAATTTAAACTACTTTATAAGCTTTGCCTCGCATCCACATAGTAATATGCATGCGTAGTTCCGTAATTTGGTTACTTTAATTTGAAGGGAGCTCTTCTTTTTAAAGTCCTGACCCATTGAAAAGTGTAATTAATTAATGACACGCTTAAGTACTTTTGATCATTTTACAAAACCTAATTATAAGTCCTTTTTCTTTTTTATTAAAAAGTTAAGGGTGTGTTGGGATAAACTTTAAAAAACATTACTTTTATGATATAATTTTTTGGGAAGGATAATTTACCATCATTTTACTCTTATAATTCTTACTATTTAATTGGTTATCGCTTGATCAATTTAAAATCAACGGTATTTTTCAACTGTTGATTTCAAATTAATGCAACGGTAACCAACCAGTTAGTAAGAGTAGTAAGTATAATTGTCTCCTAATTTTTTTAGTTTATAGAAAAAAATATTAAAATTATTTTTTGGGTATTTTTATTTTTTTTGAAAAAAATTATATAATTATCATAAAAAATTAAATATATTTTTATTTAAAAACTTTTTTCTTTCAAAAAATAAACACTAACAAATATATCCGAAATATGGGATTAAGAAGTGCTTTGGGATATCCGACATTTAGTTAAATTTTGTCTTAACACAAGGGTCAACTTCTTCATCCCATATTAAAGCAGTTCTTTTGGGTACTGCTGATCATGGTTTAATCACCTACTGCCTCCTAAGGACATATTCAAACTATTGGCTGGTAGGTCTAAAGGGGCATGAAACCTACTTTTGAACTTCATAAGATAACAAATCATTGTCTTCGTTGACCCCCAACTTTTTTTGTTTTTTGGCCAATGAATCTAAAGTCCTTATAATTAAGTTCCTCTTCTCTGATGAAGACTTGGTAGATAATAATATATGAAATTGTATAAATAAAGAACCTATTAGGCTTTGAGAACTAATTATATATGTGTAGTTGCTTTATGTGATATCCCTTTTGCAGGGTAGAAAATTGGGTTGCCAATTTTTCATGATCTAGTAGATTAGGGATACTGTTATTTTCAAATATGGAAATCAACTTTATGCATATGTTCCGCTAATACTATCCTCACAAAGGAAATGATGCATATTTTTCAAATGGTTATTATTGTTGGTGTGGTTGAGCGCTTTACTTTCCTGATATACATTAATTTGGTTGATCAAGATTTTTGCTTTCTTTGATCCTGATGTTCTGGTTTTGTGTTAGTTTATAGTTATCAAAATCATGTTTGCTTCTTTGTTATGAGGTATTGATTTAATTGTTTTTAATTGTGAATAAAATTATCTTTGCTAAAAAAATTGTGATGACTGTGATAGGAAAATTAACATTTTTACACATCATTATTTTTCAACACAGTCTGTTGAAAATCACCAGACTATCATTTAATTAACAAAATTATTATTTAACAAGACAATCTCTCATTAATGCATCTTTTCCTCAATATAATTATGTGATTTATTTTTCACTATGTTGATCATTGCATAAAATAAAGAACATTAAATCCAAAAAAAAAAATGTGTATCATTGTTTGACATCTAATTCCAGCTTATTAACGAAACAAATAATAGATAAGCAAGATGTGAAAACCGTAAAAGTTTTAGAATTTTATTTTTCTCTCCAACGAATATGATTATGAGAGTGTTTAAATCCATTAAATGGAAAGCACCTCATATATAGCATTTGCCAAAAGAGATTAGGTATTTGAAGAATTTGAAAATTTCAATGTGGGCACATGGAGTGGTTCTGCCACTAACAATAACTTTCAATATGGCCCTAGGACAATCAACAACAATATAGTTGAAATGGATTACTTGCACAAAATGA